CCGAAACTGGTAGAATTCTTTTAAATGAAAAATTATATTTTCGGATGAAGACTCCTCTAGAATCAATCAATATTATGGTTGGTACAGTGGGTGTGCAAATCCTAGAAAGATATATAACTTAATAACCGCAGGAATATAGCAAGATGCAGCGATCATGCACTTCACATTTGCCACTCATCTTAGCTATATTACGCATATCTCTCTGCATGGATAGTCGTCTTACATCTCTGATTATAGCATATTATTATCAAAGACTGAATGACTTACGTTTCAATAACGTCATACTGTACTATTATGACGAAACATGGATATATCTGGAAAGGTAATATAATTCAATAGAGATATACCCGTATCCCATGCAGGCAAGTTGTGTGAAAAAATCATTGATAGATATTAACTACATTTGTTACATTTTTTAGGAAATAATTTTCATATCGATTTAGTAGGCGATTTTGACTGATAACAAGATGTTAGGAAAAAGTTCATTTTAGTCAAAACTTAAAATAATATTCATTTAGAAAAATACAAAAAAATATGAAAACATGCATTTTGTTTGCCTTGTTAAAGACGTTTTCTAGGTGGTTTACCTGTTTGATCTAAAAATGTAAGATTTAAAGTGTTTGCATAAATTTTGAATATCTGAATGTCTTTACCTTTCGAAACCACAATAGACGAATCTCGACAATCACCTTCTACAAGCAAAAAAATATTGATTTCAAAGTACGAAGTATCTATTTATAACCTTTACCTGAATTTCTATCAGTAGTAGTGGCTGATATTCCAGCATTATTTTCACGACTATATCGATCCACATTCTGTGGAGAAAAATTAGAATTGGTAAAATCTCGGACTTCGTGTCTGAACGAATTGGAATAACTGGATGTCTGGAAAAAGAATTTATGTCGATTTCTTAATTAATGTACATATTTCAACATACAGTTACAGAAGCCGGACGAGCTCTATACGCTCGCTGCAAACACTGATAGCTTTGATCGAAATCTGAAATAAGAAATTAAAATATTAAATTTATAATCGATAACAAATATTTTGTTCATCCTACCTTGACATGTTTTAATCACAGGTAATAATTCTTCATATGT